GTATTTGAATAATTGGATTACAGTATCGATTATCATATATATATGTATATATATATATATATATATATATATATATATTGTGTGCTGGCTGTTGTTGTAGAATACAATTTCTGCGATTATCGAGACCTCTGTTTTGCAGTTTCGGATTCAGGGTAGCCTACCTGGACGCTGGTAATTGTCTCGTTCGCGTTTACCGACTAAGGTGAACTCGTAATAGCTTTAAGCGTACCAAGTGACGAACATAACATTATTCTTTCATGATACGTAACCTCGTCAACAAAGTTACCCATATTTCATTCATTATTTTTAAATCAGATAATAAGCGTTCAGTGCTGGGATAGACTTGTATACGAATCAAGACATATCGATAGTTAATTAAAACAATAATTTTACATAATGAGTTCAGTTTGGTAGATTTAACTGGGACTTTCCAGTTCTAAAGTGTTTACATAGATTAATTTTAGAATGCTAATGATAAAAGCAGTTTGATTTATTAAATTATGTCTCACATTAATTGAAATATTTCATCAAATAATTACTGATAAGGTTAAACCTTTTGGTCACCATCTTGACGTGAATCAATATATCATTGTTTCGCAATTTTTAGTTTAAGCCTTGAACATTGAATTTCTTTTTTTTTTTTAAGTGAACAAAAAGGCATTTTCGACACAAAACAATACTCTTGATCACAGATCAGCTAATCACTTTTCCTCTATGCCTGAATGTTTTTTAGAATGAAAATTCTATCTTTTTAAGGTAGTTGGCATTTACTCACAGTTTTGAAGCCAGATATTTAATGCCTATGAAATTTATCCTTCAAACAATCACGTGATATGAGATGATGTATTACATAAACAGCCTAGAACGGGCATGTGGATATTCAGTATTGAATAGCTTTTCCAGGAGTTCAAGTCGATGTGTATCTTTTTCATTAGTCTACAGAAATATCATATGATAGTTATAAGTTTGACAAGAGATACTTACTCGCTTCTAGAAAATACCAGAACAAAAGAAAATTAATTCTCAAAGTCTTGAGTGAGAATTTTTTGTTACTCTAGCAACCAGTTGTTATCACTATCGATAGAGTGTAAAACTCCCATTAAATGAATTTACTTATTTTATATTTTATGATGAATATGATCCAATATTTTAGTCTGAGCATAAGTATTTTAAAATGTGCAGAATTGTATCAACAGCTGGTGACTTCTTCAGCTTAAGTTCAACCAAAGATTATTAATTCGGGTCGCATCTAATGTACTATCTAACAAACGAAACAGTGAAGTTTTTTTTAGTTAAATCAAATAAAAACTGAACCAAAAGTCGTCAGCTGATCATAATTCTACAAGTATACACTAAATCTAATATTATCTAATAGAGCTTTTTAGTCGAAATCAAGCTGTTATTTATGTATAAATTTTTTTGAGATCACGGGTAAAGGGATGGCTCCTATAGATAAAATTTACTATTCATTATCGCTTTGCTATCAAGAGTTTTGGGTAGATAAGAGTAATATTGCGAATTCCGGAGATCACCTAAATTCGGATCTTAGTCTTTATGCCAAAGTGTAGACAATGAACCATACTGAATGATGTTATTTGGTTCATCGAGTTTTCAAATCGTTAGTAGGAGAATGATTAGGTTTCCCTTCAAAAAGTTCCCATCCTTCATTTTAATGTTTGCCTCTAAACATCATTAGAGAATTTCACAATAACCCACCTAACCTGTAGGATGCCTTAATGGAAGCTGATTTGAATGTTTGTGTTGTTTTATTGAATAAACGAATAAATGGATAGATATTTATGAGTGTGCGTTGTTTGAAATGGGATGCTTAAAAACTAGTTGGTCGATTACAATCTCATGTTTTACTAAAGGGTATTTACATGCAGTCTGAATTCTCAAATCTAGACAGACGTATTTTCATAAAGAATACTTAGATACTATAACAAATAATTGACTTGTATTTTATTTTGATAGAATACTGAGTATTGTGTTCAAATCTCCAGTATGTTCTCCGATTGACTTTAGAAGTCTCATATTTCATGAAATGCCAATGAAGCAATCCCTCAATTATGCAACGAAATACAACAATTTATGAATTCATGTTAAAGAAATGATCTAGTTAAAATGAATGGAAAAATGCGAAACAAATGATATTTTCAATCCTTATTGTTAGCACTAACCTTATGCTTGCTCGGTCTCAATCTCTAAGCATTTGACTCCGTTATGTACCAAATCTCATATGAAAAAAATTGATGTAGTAAGCCAATCGCAAGTGGCAAAAATGAGAAGAGTATTTGTTGACCATCAGAAATGTCCTAAAGGACGAATGCATATCATTGGTCAAAAAATGGATTCATTCTCTAAGGGGAAAGAATATGTGTGTAAATGAGTATTTATGATACATGATTCGGTAGCTAAATAGACTTTCTCTACCATTCTTGCCCTCTGGCTCTAGTAAAAAAAACTAGTTTTTAAATAGCAAAACCTGAAACTTAACTCTTTTTTTTTAACTGAACATAGTAACCACATCAAATCTATTAGAAAAATTAATTAAACATGAATGATTACTATTTACTTTAGTCAGTAGGTGTGCATTGAGATTGTTTTACGCATTTCATGCATTCTATACTTGTTACTCTACATAGATAGGGCTTACTAGTTTCACACTCAAACAAAATAGTTGCATTAAAATCAATAAATTAGATTTTATTAAGTTTGCCAAACACATTCACATACACCAGTTCACATGTGAAATGCAAAAGTTGTTTTTAATTTTTTATATTGAAAGTAAATAAATCAATCATGAAGCAAAATTTTTCAGTGTAAGACACAGTTTGAATTATTTTAAATTGCTGATTATGTACACATACATACATACATACATACATACATACATACATACATACATACATACATACATACATTGATACAATTAGTAATACTCAAACAGAGTACTAGTGAATGTGTCATGTGTGGTCAACAATGAATTGATTACATTTTGGAGGAGAAGTATGTTCAACTGGTAGAAAAATGATGAAGATTAATCTTAGTAAAATACATAAGGATGTTATTGATAATAAAAAAATGAATTAGATCTACTGTGACTGTCAGAAAGATCGTTCTAGAATTCGACGATGCGGAAGAATTTTGAGCTTTGTCTAGATTGTTTCTGTTGAAAACTCATTACAGGTGGTGTAGTATTTGACAAAAGATGTAGACTAACACAAGAATGTGTAATTACACAAACTTCCGTAACTGCCACAAAATATAGTAACAGTGCTCACTACTGGCTAGTTTCGAGAGGAAATTCTCGGAGTTCTAGTTAAGAAAACGTGACCAATGGAGTTCAACACTGTCGGGTGTGTAGGCAGTAACTACCAAAGACAAATAGAAGAGGTTGCGGGAAATCTCTAGATCAGAGATAGACATTAACATCATTAGATGCCGGACCAGTGGTACAATGGTTTGGCGTCCACGCACAATAAAGAAGGTCCCGGGTTCGAATCCTGCGAGGTACAGGAGTCGTGGATGCGTACTGCTGATTAGTCCCATATTGGGAAGAAACTACCGTCCAGTGCTCCCAAGTTTCTAATGGTGGTCTAACAATGATTGATTGATGATTTCAAATGTGTAAAAACACAAAACACACAAACCTCCAAAACTCTGCCCCAAGAAATAATAACCAATTTACTTGTAATATTCACATACGTTATGAATTACAAACAAATTTTAGTTATTCTGATTTAAAATTGATCACTGTAATTATTCGACGAGGCAATATCACCTATGATGCAAATGAATTCGAAAATAAAGCCAAACTAAATGTTATCGCACAATAAATAAATCGAAGTTAGCTTGTTTCGTTTAATTAGAAATCTATGTGTTGTTTTTCACAAAAGTATATTCGAAAAACTCATCTCTTTTGCTTGCACCTAAAAGAATATACCCTTGAAACGGGGGTGTTTCGAACGGCTTTTCATTCACAGTTTGCTTCAGTATAGTTCAGTATTTAAGCATTACGTTACTTAACTTATCTTGAAAGTGTAGATGGGAAGGTACGGGTAGGCAAATCGAGAGCAACACTACTACGGTTGAAGAATATATGGAATTCACAAAAAATACAAACCAACACCGAAGTCAGAATTTTCAATACAAATGTCGAGATAGTTATAATCTGAGTAGCTGAAGTTTGCAGAACTACGAAAGATATCGTTCAAAATATACAAGTATTTATAAACTGTTGTCTACACAAGATTTGCGGATCCGTTGGTCAGACACCATCAACGAAAACTAATGTGCAAGAGAACAATCTAGCTTCCACATGAGTAGGAAATTAGGGAAAAACACCACAGGTTGATGAGACGTAGATTGAGGAACTCACCCTACTGCATCACAACGCAAGTCTTGACTTAGAATCCTCAGGGCCTAAGGAGAAGAGACAGATCAAAGAACACATTGCACCGAGAATCCGAGACAGATTTGGAGATAATCAATGATGATTAGGAAAAACTGGAAAGAAAAATCGATGCGAGAGTTGATTGTAGTATCCTGTTTGATGATATAAGATTTACGAAGGGTAACTCATGTAAATAGTTAAGCTCTTCTTATCTAGAGTATTCGTTTTACTTTCATTTGTTTCACTGTCCCTTGAAAATTAACAATAGGTGAGTAATAAGACATAATATGAGTAATTCTACAGATTCTACAGTTTATTGAGCAAACAAAAGAGATATCCTTATATCCTAAGCATAGAATATTTTAAATGGAAAAGAATTCTTATTAGAATCCATTATTTTTTCTAAAGTCGAAAATATTATGGACGCTTGATTATTCTTTTGTCTCATTCATCGTTTCACTAGTAAAACTAAAATCAAAACAATATCAACTAATGAATCACATTGTTAAAACAAAATGTATTTTAGTTTCAAATGCTAAATGACTACAACAATTAGATCTCACTATGTATCTTCTTTTTCTTGTGATTTCACCACAAATTATTCCTTTAATAGTTCAATGCAGCTTGAAGCACAATATGTTATTAGGTTGTGTAGTTTGCCGTATGACAACCCATTGCAAGTTTGTCTCTTAGTCTATTACCAATGATTAATTGATAATATAACACAACCAGTCAAGATTATACAAGGTGACCAATCGTGTTATTGATTTGCATCTATATAAATAGATGCATTTGCAGTAATATCATGTTGTTCAAATCCATTTGTTAATTGGTGGTCAACTAAGTAAGTTAACAAGAACTATTCATTCACTTGATTTCTCATCAAATGTAGTTGTTTCTTTTGCTTTTTAATTGTCTATTCATCTATTTATTGTAACATTTGTTTTTATTTCTAGATTGAATATTGAATATTAACTATGGAGTAAGTGGTTAAGTTTTACTTTCTTATACCTTGTTTCACTTGAACACCAATCAAGCGAATTTACTTGTCAACTTAAATTTATAGGGAATGTAAACTAATTATAAATTTGATCAGAGTTGCTCGTTAACATCACATGGTGGCTTCCGAAAATGGAGCCTTTGCATCATGTGATTTTTGCAGCTTGTCCATTATTGTCCATGGTTTAATCGATAACTATTTTACCCTGTGCATAAACTGTCTATATGGTGAAAGCGTCAGCAGCGTATTTCTACAATGGCTCTTGAAGCTATGCATCGAGAGCGTTTCTTCTTCAAACATCATCTGACACAAACAATGAGCAGTTTTACATGACACTATTGACCCATTCTGTTCACCCAGTGAGGGTAAAGTTACTGCTCATGCTTAAACGAAAAATGCAGGTGGAATTTGTTTATATTAGGCAAAGATGTCACTCAGGTATACTGCTGACCCAGCAAATATGAGTTTTACTGCTCTGTGGTTGCTAACATTAAATTTCATGATAAAGTTTGAACTATGAAGAAACAATAATTGTTTAATAAATAAAATCCTAAAAGCTACTTTTTTCTTCAAGCCGAGAGATTCACTACAACAAGCGAACACATATGTTAGATGAATAATAAATATCTATGTTAACATAACCGTTGTCAAAACTTGTCTGAGGAATAATCGCCACACAATTCTGATTAGGTTTTATGAGATGGATAACAAACAGTCGAGTGCTTGCTCATTATTTTCAATAATTCGCTAATATAATTGTACTAAAAGCTACCATCAGCACTTCATTTACAAGAATAGACGTGAATTTAATATGAATGTAATTTTCATTTAATTTCTATTTTATTAGAGAAATGGAAGTCAAAGAGATGTTCTGTATGATTGATAAGAAACATCGGGGTAGAGTCACTTGTAGACAATTAAGAAAATTTCTAAGGAGGCATGATGCTAAATTCAGTAGAAGATCTGTAAAAGTCTACGTCCGGTCAATAGACAGTGATGGGGATGGTAAATTGACATTGGACGATTTTATGAGGGCGCTCACCAAATGTGACGGTACAAAATAAATCATGTTAAATGTGGAATTTATTCTAAACAAAAATGAAATTAGTAAAACGAATGTAAGGATAAATTGACCTACTTAATAAAATCAAACACTTTATTACTTCTTATTGTTCTGCTATTCATCTGAACTAGTGTGGCTTTCTAAAATTATCTAACAAAGATGTTTATAAATATTGATCTGTGTATCACCAGAATTAGTATTGTGTACATGTTTACTTGCCAAAAAATGATTTCACTTTTTTGTTTTACTAAATATGTGATGAGTTAATCTGTTTTATTTCGCATTTATTGATTGTTTTCTACTTGTGATTTGATACCTAGGGAATTCGATTTGTTGTTTTAGTCGAATGAGGACTACCACTCTATTTTATCTGATATATTGACTTTGTTTACCAATTCATAATCACTGTAACGAGGAGCGGAAATATTTATTAATACATGAATAATTATAGAACAGTTAAAATGTAACGTAAAGTCTAGGGTACTTAGTTTTCTTTAGACTAACTAAGCCCAATACTGATACTTAGTGTGATCCCTGTAAGTGAGAAACTATTAAAATCTGTAGATCTTTGGAATTCTTCAAATATCGGTTCCTATGAATGGATTCAATACTCGGCAGTTGGCGAGATAGAGGATTGCTTTGATCCCTTCTGTCTCTGTCACACCATTGCCTTTTAGAGATATAAGTAACTCGGAATCAAAGAGCCTCTCTGTTTAAAGATTTTGAAATGGCTTTATTATTAAAGTGACCAGTAATGACAAAGTGGTAGAAGCATTAACAATAATCCGATTAATAGTGTACTATTTAACTTAATTGAGGGAAATATGACTGTAAGATGATATTTTGCCTAATTTGTAAGTTTCGAAAAGACGGTAATTTGCCCACATTTCAACGAGTTCTGTTTATCCCTCATTCAATAGATTACCGAAGAAAACATGGTTTTGACAGACAGAGAGATATCATTAGATGTAATCCTGTTTGGTTGAGAGTATTTCTAGACATACTTATGCAAGAAAATGTAGGAGAAATGATGAATAACCTTTGCGAAGTCCGATCGAAATGATAAACGTCTCATTTTTGTAGGCTAGTCCAGTTAACTTGGCTTGCATTTTAATGCCAAGGTAGTTAGTTGTATAACTATATATACTGATTGCGTTTTATCGAAGTTCCACTTGTGAAATATTACTTATATTGTACATTTTAGTAATAACTGTATACAATTTTATTCATTTTCATTTCTACCGATAAATTAATTAACAGTTGAATTGATCAAATTTTGCGTCCGTCTTGTGCATACATTATCCTCATGTGAAGTACACACTGGACTGCAACAAAATAGATAGAAAATTTAATGAACTTATCAACCAATCAATATATAATGGATTTCGTTGTTTTTTAAGTACTATTTGTTCTCAGAAAGCTCCTCACGAATCATAGATTGGACCAAAGTCGTAGTAATCTGAAGTGAATTATTTCAAGTGACGAAATTTGATATATTGTCTGCTTCACTATTAATGTACCCTTACATTACCTAATTTTGCATTTGTTCTCACAATCATAACTTATTTTACATTCATTGATTCCACCAACTGTGTAGTAGTGATGAGCCCAATTTTAGGCGTTTATTCATACCACAACTGGGTATTAGTTTGATGATTACTTGCAGTTTGTTTCTCGTTAATGTTGTTTCGTGCACTATCTTGCCGATATTAATTGTTAGGTATTTTTATTTCACTCTCTCATCTATACTTGATAATGTTAACCGAACATTTTTACATTACCACAGAATGTAATCTCTCTGATGTCGGCTTCAATAAACCGTGGATTTCTTACGAGATTTCATTTATGCCATCGTGGACATGTAGCTAATGAATTATTTTGATTAGGCGGATCACATTCTAACCGAGAATATTGTCTTAGTAGTAATAAGTTATGCTGTTAGGTGTAGTTGTAAGCGAAATTTAAAATAACCTCCATTTGAAGCAATAAATTTATTTATCTGCATCAGTCAATAAATTTACGTCAACCTATTGAGTGCGAATGTCTCACAATCAGAATCATTCGTTTGTTAGTATATATTGGAGTAAGTAACATTGCAAGCACAAATGTTTTAGATTATCAAGCTTCAGTTAACATGAGTTTTGAAGATAGAAGTTTATTCTGACTTTAAACTGAATACTGAGTAGATTCGAGAGAAGATCGGTTGATTTCACTTGATCAACTGAAATGGCACTTATGACTGACTAGTTTATTTAACACTAGAATTCTAAAGATTGAAGAAGATTTTGATTAATTTGAAGGAAATATTTTGTGAGAGTGAATCAAATGGATGCGAGCTGGTTTAGTATTGTTTTTTTGTCTAGTTAAAATGCCTTTAATTATGGCTTACTTTCACATTGTCAAACTCATAGTCAGATAAAAATGTTAGAGATTGTTGCAGAAGAGCCAGTGTACGATTTAACTTCAAGCTTCTATTTTGTTATGTCTTATTTTATCATTGTTTGCTTACTGCTTACTGCCAGAAGATTCTCGCTTTCAAAATATGAAACTTCATTTGAATATGTTTCATCCATGCAAACATTGGATGTCGTATAGTTGGTATTGATTTCGCGAGTATATATCTCAAATTATCGGTAAATTAAGCATAAACGATTGCTTCTATGTAGGACAGATATAACTTCAGAATAGTTAAATTTCACTGTGAAATGCGTTCTGATATTTTGCAAAACAAAACTGATGTAATAATTGTGTTCACTGAATATACACAATGAAATCCGATGTAATTGATTTTCAAAGAATCATCCGGGAAGTGGGTTTTTCTCATACTGAAATACCTTAGCAAATAAGCACCTTTCTCAGATTATCAAAACTTATCTGTTACTGAGGTTATGTGGAATACTGACTAACTGAACTACTGCACATACTCCAGTGTATTTTCCACCACATAATTCAAAATAAGTCTAATCCATGCATAAATCAGAGTAAATAATTTACTAATAAGTTCATGTCAGGCCTTCGAAGCTGTCAAGATCCAAAACAACTGCAATTATAGTTAGTTACTTTAGTAGCAGAATGATAAGTTTTTTTGATACAATCACGGAGTTGAAAAATGTTTCGACTTTGTGTTCGTTTCAAAAGTCATTAAACCCGAATTCTCAGAGGAATATGAGAAACATGCCTATGATATTGATGATATGTGTCAGTTATTGTTATAAGTCCACAGCTTTTCAGAAATAAGCAATTACTTTCACAATCTAAACAACATGATACTTATGAGCTTAGAGTAAACAATCCAACTGACTAACATAAGTGCGCTTTCAATGTTTTGTTTCACCTTAAACATGAAAATGAAAACCAATACTTCTGCTTAATCACACAAACTATACAGACTAGATTATGCTTTCTGTGCAAGAGAACGCACAAAATTTAGTTTAAACTTCCTCTCATCAACTATATTTTTTGTTTTATCTCTAACTTTATGCAACATATTGATATTATACTCAATGGTATTTCTCATTGCATGCATATGCAAATGTTTCAAGTGAGTGGAATCTCATCTGGTTCATTCTGCACAACGAAGAATTACGCTTTCAAATTAGGTCGAATTATCAATTTATTGGCGGTAGTAATTGAAAATATTCATTGCAGCTAGTTAAAATGAGATCAAGGCAAACTACACCTTGCATTTAATTTTATTTTAGCTAAGTGTTTGGATCAACAAACTAAAACTTATTAAGTCTTTGTAGACGAGTTTTATCTATCGTTTTAAAAAAAAAATTCAAGAAAATCAATATTTTGAATACATTCCACCTTTCAGTTGAAAATGAACGATAAAATTCACAAAATATAAAACTATAACATGCGTAGAACTTATCGATTCGACAATCAGATCATTCTTTTGTTTGTCATCGAAATTTGTTTAGTTGCATGAACAGACTAGAGGGAACTATCACCATTAAGGTAAAGTGATATTCCTATGTAATATGATTTGTAAAATGATTGAAATTGTATTGCTGTTTAGAATAGTGGCAGTAATGATAATTGTGTGGAAATGAATATCATGAACTGACTGTTATGAAATAGATTCGTGAAACCGATATACGCAGCATAACTAATGAAACATAACTATTTTTAGAAAGCTTCAGCTGTAAGAAGATTTCTACTGCTGCACATCAAGACAAATATTCTATTTCAGAGATAAGTCTATCAGTCGCCATTTTCAACTCTTACTATAGGTGAAATCAATTGACTAGCTAGTTGGCATTATGAAACATTGGCCTTGGTACACTTAGAGTGCTGATTAACTTGCAAGATGAACTATTATAATGATATATATATATATATATATATATATATATATATATATATATAAAGTACGGAAGTTCCCATGTTCGAAGTGTGCGAGGTACAGGAGTCGTGGATGCGCAGTGCTCATTAGTCCCATACTGGGAAGAAACGGCCGTCCAGTGCTCCCAGGTTTCTAATGGTGGTCTGACAATGATTGATTGATGATTTCAAATGTGTAAAAACACAAAAAACACAAACCTCTAAAACTCTGCCCCAACAAAGAAGAACCAATTTACTTGTAATATTCACATACGTTATGAATTACAAACAAATTTTAGTTATTCTGATTTAAAATTGATCCCTGTAATTATTCGACGAGGCAATATCACCTATGATGCAAATGAATTCGAAAATAAAGCCCAACTAAATGTTATCGCACAATAAATAAATCTACGTTATCTTGTTTAGTTTAATTAGAAATCTATGTGTTGTTTTTCACAAAAGCAAATACGAAAAACTCATCTCGTTTGCTTGCACCTAAAAGAATATGCCCTTGAAACTGGGGTGTTTCGAACAGCTTTTCCTACACAGTTTGCCTCAGTATAGTTCAGTATTTTAGCATTACGTTACTTAACTTATCTTGAAAGTGTAGATGGGAAGGTACGGGTTGGCAAATCGAGAGCAACACTACTACGGTTGAAGAATATATGGAATTCACAAAAAATACAAACCAACACCGAAGTCAGAATTTTCAATACAAATGTCGAGATAGTTATAATCTGAGTAGCTGAAGTTTGCAGAACTACGAAAGATATCGTTCAAAATATACAAGTATTTATAAACTGTTGTCTACACAAGATTTGCGGATCCGTTGGTCAGACACCATCAACGAAAACTAATGTGCAAGAGAACAATCTAGCTTCCACATGAGTAGGAAATTAGGGAAAAACACAACAGGTTGATGAGACGTAGATTGAGGAACTCACCCTACTGCATCACAACGCAAGTCTTGACTTAGAATCCTCAGGGCCTAAGGAGAAGAGACAGATCAAAGAACACATTGCAACGAGAATCTGAGACAGATTTGGAGATAATCAATGGTGATTAGGAAAATGTGGAAAGAAAAATCGATGCGAGAGTTGATTGGAGTATCCTGTTTGATGATATAAGATTTATGAAGGGTAACTCATGTAAATAGTTAAGCTCTTCTTATCTAGAGTATTCGTTTTACTTTCATTTGTTTCACTGTCCCTTGAAAATTAACAATAGGTGAGTAATAAGACATAATATGAGTAATTCTACAGATTCTACAGTTTATTGAGCAAACAAAAGAGATATCCTTATATCCTAGGCATAGAATATGTTAAATGGAAAAGAATTCTTATTAGAATCCATTAGTTTTTCTAAAGTCGAAAATATTATGGACGCTTGATTATTCTTTTGTCTCATTCATCGTTTCACCAGTAAAACTAAAATCAAAACAATATCAACTAATGAACCACATTGTTAAAACGAATTGCAGTTTAGTTTCAAATGCTAAATGACTACAACAATTAGATCTCACTAACTATCTTCTTTTCCTGTGATTTCACCACAAATTATTCTTTTAATAGTTCATTCCATCTTGAAGCACAATATGTTATTAGGTTGTGTAGTTTGCCGTATGACAACCCATTGCAAGTTTGTCTCTTAGTTTATTACCAATGATTAATTGATAATATAACACAACCAGTCAAGATTATACAAGGTGACCAATCGTGTTATTGATTTGCATCTATATAAATAGATGCATTTGCAGTAATATCATGTTGTTCAAATCCATTTGTTAATTGGTGGTCAACTAAGTAAGTTAACAAGAACTATTCATTCACTTGATTTCTCATCAAATGTAGTTGTTTCTTTTGCTTTTTAATTGTCTATTCATCTATTTATTGTAACATTTGTTTTTATTTCTAGATTGAATATTGAATATTAACTATGGAGTAAGTGGTTAAGTTTTACTTTCTTATACCTTGTTTCACTTGAACACCAATCAAGCGAATTTACTTGTCAACTTAAATTTATAGGGAATGTAAACTAATTATAAATTTGATCAGAGTTGCTCGTTAACATCACATGGTGGCTTCCGAAAATGGAGCCTTTGCATCATGTGATTTTTGCAGCTTGTCCATTATTGTCCATGGTTTAATCGATAACTATTTTACCCTGTGCATAAACTGTCTATATGGTGAAAGCGTCAGCAGCGTATTTCTACAATGGCTCTTGAAGCTATGCATCGAGAGCGTTTCTTCTTCAAACATCATCTGACACAAACAATGAGCAGTTTTACATGACACTATTGACCCATTCTGTTCACCCAGTGAGGGTAAAGTTACTGCTCATGCTTAAACGAAAAATGCAGGTGGAATTTGTTTATATTAGGCAAAGATGTCACTCAGGTATACTGCTGACCCAGCAAATATGAGTTTTACTGCTCTGTGGTTGCTAACATTAAATTTCATGATAAAGTTTGAACTATGAAGAAACAATAATTGTTTAATAAATAAAATCCTAAAAGCTACTTTTTTCTTCAAGCCGAGAGATTCACTACAACAAGCGAACACATATGTTAGATGAATAATAAATATCTATGTTAACATAACCGTTGTCAAAACTTGTCTGAGGAATAATCGCCACACAATTCTGATTAGGTTTTATGAGATGGATAACAAACAGTCGAGTGCTTGCTCATTATTTTCAATAATTCGCTAATATAATTGTACTAAAAGCTACCATCAGCACTTCATTTACAAGAATAGACGTGAATTTAATATGAATGTAATTTTCATTTAATTTCTATTTTATTAGAGAAATGGAAGTCAAAGAGATGTTCTGTATGATTGATAAGAAACATCGGGGTAGAGTCACTTGTAGACAATTAAGAAAATTTCTAAGGAGGCATGATGCTAAATTCAGTAGAAGATCTGTAAAAGTCTACGTCCGGTCAATAGACAGTGATGGGGATGGTAAATTGACATTGGACGATTTTATGAGGGCGCTCACCAAATGTGACGGTACAAAATAAATCATGTTAAATGTGGAATTTATTCTAAACAAAAATGAAATTAGTAAAACGAATGTAAGGATAAATTGACCTACTTAATAAAATCAAACACTTTATTACTTCTTATTGTTCTGCTATTCATCTGAACTAGTGTGGCTTTCTAAAATTATCTAACAAAGATGTTTATAAATATTGATCTGTGTATCACCAGAATTAGTATTGTGTACATGTTTACTTGCCAAAAAATGATTTCACTTTTTTGTTTTACTAAATATGTGATGAGTTAATCTGTTTTATTTCGCATTTATTGATTGTTTTCTACTTGTGATTTGATACCTAGGGAATTCGATTTGTTGTTTTAGTCGAATGAGGACTACCACTCTATTTTATCTGATATATTGACTTTGTTTACCAATTCATAATCACTGTAACGAGGAGCGGAAATATTTATTAATACATGAATAATTATAGAACAGTTAAAATGTAACGTAAAGTCTAGGGTACTTAGTTTTCTTTAGACTAACTAAGCCCAATACTGATACTTAGTGTGATCCCTGTAAGTGAGAAACTATTAAAATCTGTAGATCTTTGGAATTCTTCAAATATCGGTTCCTATGAATGGATTCAATACTCGGCAGTTGGCGAGATAGAGGATTGCTTTGATCCCTTCTGTCTCTGTCACACCATTGCCTTTTAGAGATATTTTTTTTTTTTTTTTTTTTTTTTTTTTTTTTTTTTTTTTTTTTTTTTTTTTTTTTTTTTTTTTTTTTTTTTTTTTTTTTTTTTTTTTTTTTTTTTTTTTTTTTTTTTTTTTTTTTTTTTTTTTTTTTTTTTTTTTTTTTTTTTTTTTTTTTTTTTTTTTTTTTTTTTTTTTTTTTTTTTTTTTTTTTTTTTTTTTTTTTTTTTTTTTTTTTTTTTTTTTTTTTTTTTTTTTTTTTTTTTTTTTTTTTTTTTTTTTTTTTTTTTTTTTTTTTTTTTTTTTTTTTTTTTTTTTTTTTTTTTTTTTTTTTTTTTTTTTTTTTTTTTTTTTTTTTTTTTTTTTTTTTTTTTTTTTTTTTTTTTTTTTTTTTTTTTTTTTTTTTTTTTTTTTTTTTTTTTTTTTTTTTTTTTTTTTTTTTTTTTTTTTTTTTTTTTTTTTTTTTTTTTTTTTTTTTTTTTTTTTTTTTTTTTTTTTTTTTTTTTTTTTTTTTTTTTTTTTTTTCAAGTTTCTAATGGTGGTCTAACAATGATTGTTTGATTGATTTCAAATGTTTAAAATCACAAATGTTATGTGATACGATCATGATGAGTTTTATTTGTTACTTAGTCGGTTAGTTAAGATTTTCATATATTTTGCAGAATGAAATACATGTCAAGATTTTTAATGATAGTGATAAAATTATCGTTAATATGTTTTTGAAATGATCCAATTGGTGGTTTATTCTTAATTACAATGTGAAATGAATTTTTTGAATGGAAATCCACTGGTAAATCATCCGTTAATTCATCTTTATTTTCTTAGAAACTAATAAACCCGCACCAAATACAACATTGAAAATTCGTTAAAGAAATAAAACTTTTAGATTCTTTTTAATGTATCCATGCGTGCATGGTTATTTTTGTTGCTGTTGCATAAAAAATACTGTTAGGTTAAGCAAATAATCGTAATTTAGATTGTTAAACATCAGCAGGGCAGTTACTAATGTCAACTGTTCAACCATTCTTCATCTGGCTTTAGAGACCTATTAAGTATTCTTTTTACTGTTAATCTTTATTTCAAACTGCCCCAAGCAATTGAATATTTAACTTTGTTTATCATTGTCCTTTGTTGTCGTATTGCGTTACACTAATCAACATAGACCACTGCAGTTCGTTTCATTAAATTTGTTTTGGAAAACGTATCGAATACTTTTCATTTTCGCCCTTGAAAATTGTTTTGCTCACTGACTTAATTCGTAAAAATTATAACAGGTACGTGGTACAACCGACAAAAATAAACACATTTTATTTATGTGAATTCCTTGAACGAATCGGTAGATCGTAAATTCACAAGTGAAGCCTATTAGGAATAATGTTTTCTTCACGATGGCCACAGGATAATTAAGAGAAATTATAGATTTACGAGCATAGTTTACTTGCGTGTAAACTTATTTTGTAGCATCTATGAACAATACTAGTGTTCCAGAGTCTTAGGGAGTTTTAGATTGACAAGATTACAATTAAGGAAATCTTTGTACACCAATTAATCCTGATATGAATTCTCATTATATTCAGTTCACAATCTCACTAGATATTAATCTATATTCTTACCAATTTCTGTCGGGACAAATAAGTTGACTTTTGAAAGATAGAAATGAATCAGTATTTATTTAACATCACTACTATTATCATTGTTGCCAGCAACTATATTTCTTTGAAAGTACAATAAAATCATTGTTAGTGATAAATTAAACCATAAAATTGGTGCAACTGTAGAAAAACGTTTAATTAATATCACATGTTAATTGTTTACACAATCGGTATGCGTATCTCTTCACATATTAGCATATATATGTATATATATACATACACATACCTGACATCAGGTAAATTTGCGCAATTGTACTTAGGAGATAGCCTGCCAATCATTTAAGTTTGACTAAGCTCATAAACTTGAATAAAGCAAATATACATCATGTTTTTTTGGTGCAAGCAAGTTGTATAAAACATTCAGCTATGCATCTTTGAATTTTGAATAACAAAAAAACAATAAAAATGAGATAATCAATGCATTCTGTTTATGTGGTGATGAATTGTCTTAGCTTGAAAATCGATAGAATACAATTAATCACACGTAAAAAATTAAAAAGGGTATATATATATATATATATATATATATATATATATATATATATATATATATATATATATATATATATATATATGGTTAAAGAGATGGTGTAGACTTTTAAGAAGTTCACTCAACTCGAATACGAATAACTAATTTTTTAATGGAGGATCAATACAATATATAGAGAGAGTAATCACTTTGTTTCGGATTTCATTATTAGATAAAAATTGTAAAATATTCATGCTATTTTATCAGTGCATACGAAACTACACAATTCATTCATATTCTGTCATTTGATAGCATTAATCAGAGAAACTTTGTAGTAAAGCGTACCTAAAAAGATAGTTTGTCATGGCTTGTATTGACTGATATATATAACTAAATTTCAAAGCTGATGTATAGAGTGATATCCTAATAAAAATCCATTGAAACAACGTCCAACTCTTCTAAAATGCAGATTAACTCTTTAACTAGGCCAATACTGCCTCACTTAACTGGGGGGTTAGGCTAACGGGGATGGTTAAATGCATACATTTTTGCTCGCTTAACTGCTTCTGTGAGACTAGTAATATAGACTGTGACTAAAGAACCTTATCTTTGTGCACGCGCGATTAAGTGAGGAGATATCAGGGAAAAAGGGTCGCTAAATCTATAGACAGTGCCATAGTTTCTCATTTGATAGATACATAATTAGGCGTGTTACTATTCGTGAAGCTTAAATCACCAAACAGGATTCTCCAATAAACTCTCTCATCGACTCTTCTTTCCACCTTTTCCCAATCGCCATTCATTATCTTCATATCTGTCTTCAATTATCGGTGCAATATGTTCTTTGATCAGCCTCTTCTCCTTAGGCCTTGAGGATTATAAGTCGAGGCTTGCCTTGTGATGCAGTCGGGAGAGTTCCTCAGTCTGCGTCTCATCGACCCACAGTTTTTTTCCTAATTACTTACTCAGCTGAAGGGTGATTTATTCTCCACCACAGAAGATTGTTTCTGATAGTATCCTTACTAATTTTCCGTAAGGTAGAATACTACATTTGCTTTATACAACAGAAGCAATTGTTATGAACTCGAGCACATTCAAGGTATGTGTACGAAAGCGATACATTAGACCCCTTTGATTATCTTGACCTGTAAGAAGGTTTTCTCATTCAGTTTGACAGTTCAGAATACAAACATTATCCCCTTCATTCTCTCAAGATATATCAGTCCCAGAATCACTATTTTAGAGACTTTCATCCGTGACTTTTGTTAAAAATATACTTAAGCTAGAATAATGAATAGCATACCATAAAAGTTAGATTATTTTGATAGCTTGTACCGGAGTAGCCACTTTTATGGCCTTTGAAAAATACATTCTAGTAAGTGATGCGAATATTTCTCAACGGCTCTGAATTACTCAACTACATTTCAGTCGGTCAGAAAATAACATTTTCCGGAACTATTGGTTAAAGACGTTAATCGATGAACTAACTTTAGTATGAAGTAAGAAGTCAATCTATGTAGGTTAGTGGAAAATGTATATCATGGAACAATGGGTCTAGGTATTCTCACATGAAGTTAAGCAGCCAAAATTCGGTATTCAAATAAATAGATTTCCAACTGTAATTCCAGTCGATGAAGAGGGAACTTAGAAACTAAGTTGTCAGATTCAATTGGTAAAAAGCAGTAGTATTTAAAAGAGGATTGTAGGGACTAACAACAGACAATGAGATGTCACCGTTCATCTATACCTTATCACTAGTCAATACACTGAAGGATAAACCATCAGTTTTAATTAGCGAATAACTGTTATCATGTTGACTGCAGGCTTATAAAAATTATTGACTGCGGAAACAGTGATGAAGAAGAATTTAGACAATACAATTCCTGAAACTTTGAACAATTTATTTCACACATACTTGTTCGACGTTTATTCAAATCGATGCTCTAATTGATACAAAAGTTTGTTGTTTCATGATACTGAGTCTGTTCAAGTTATACGTTAGTTATGTTTACATAAAACAGGAAAATCTGACATATTTTCTGTAGCACTTGTCATTTGAACACTTTCCACCATCAAAATTTTACAAAAATGAAAGTTATTACTGAAAGTTTACTAGGTAGTTTGAAGAAAACAAAGTAAAGATTTGACCTGATATTAAAATTAATTGGACATGATTAGACTGTTGATAATACTTTTATAATGCTTAAGTGAATAGATAATTGAATTTCTGAAGCTGAATAAAAATTTCAAATCACTTATTAATGTGCTAACCAAACTAACCAGTTGCTTGTTAAATGTTTCTTTAAAATGACTGCAAAGTGAATCAACTATGTTCTTGAAAAAGCAACTTGAAACCTGACATCTAATGTTTAAATACTTTATTTCAAAGACTTAAGACACCCAAAAAAAAGTAGTTCGATAATGAAAAATGTTACTTTATGTGAAATAAACTTACTGACGATGAGGACATAAACGTTCAAGGAATATTTAATTAAAGAACCTGAGAATTTTTCATCAAGTGCAGGTTGGTTTTCATCATCCGCTGTTCACAGATTTGTTGAGAATCAGAAAGCATTGGGTAGCTATCAATCTGACAGAAGTATGACTCATTTTAAAACTAAGAAAGTTTTTCTGATAATAATGAATCGAAAAACTAACAAATACATTTTGCTATGCGTTCTTTTTCATTCGAACAACAAATTTAATAGTAGTTTTGGTTTGTTTCTCGTATTTTATCAGGCTATCACTTTCATGAACTATTATACTTGAAAGCTGAAGTCAAACAATTCTAGATGTTAAGTGAGAAAAACTTAACTATTCAAAGTATTCATCATTAATATGTGTCGGACCTTTGAGTAAGGTTTTATGTCTATAATAATAATAATAATTGAGCAGGACTAAATTATTCTCAGTTTCTAAATTCAGCTATTTCTTTTTGCCAATGAAATGTTGGGGTGTCTATAACTCAGTGATCAGTGTCGATCACTTTAAACAACCACTTCGTTTCTATCAGAAACGCATTTAAAGAAAGCCATCCTAGTGCATAAGTAAGTTTATATTGTAAACTATAATGATCTCTCATATAACAAAACTCGATTATAATCTATTTTGCATTCATTAACAAATAACTTATCAGGTGCATTTTTTTAAAAACCTATGAAATCATTTATCAAAATAACAACAGAATGTGAATAATTTAATGACGTATATGTCTATAAATTTGTAAAAGAATGCATCATTAAAACCGAAACCATGTTGACTTATCTCAACATTAATCACTTTAACTGATTCAAAGGATAACTAGTATTTACAAACACGCACAGTCGTTTTTCTTAGCACAATAAACTCGTTCAAACATCCAATTATTTGTCAAACACAATAAGCCCACAGATGAGGTGAGGTTTCTTCCTGAACAATTAGTTAACAATCGTTGGAACCTCTGCAGGTAATGAAAAATTTAATGAAAATTCGATTCTGTAAATCCAAGCTGATGAAATTGCACAGTACACATTTGGTGCCAGATAGAGGTTATTTCTACTTCCTACCAAATGTCGAAAATGAATTTCCTACTGATTTATAGTTGAAATAGACAGCTTCCAAAGAATTCCTGTCTGTTTTCAGCTATGCATTTCATGTTATCAAAGAATCGAACTAATCCTTATCAGCTGATGGGTTAATAAATCAGCATGACAGATTGTTATAGTGTAGTGAATGAGAACACAGGTGGGGGCAACCGAATTGTATTAGACGAAAAATACAGAGTTACTCAGTAAAATCGGAAAACCATATCGTAAATCGTTCATTTGCAAAGGATCAGTTCATCCTATGGAACTGGACTGTTCCTGTTGCCAAACATCAATCCATTGTCACTCTTCATGCGTTTCATACAAATTCCATTGTTTTCTGACTCTTCCTTTCTTGATCTTCCCCCCATATTATGCTACCAGACTTTACGTTGACACTCACGCTATATACTACTTATAAGTAGTTCGCAACACAGCACCACACTCGTCCCCCCTTTTAATAAGCTGTCGTCGTGGTCCTTCAAAACAGAGCTCCTGGTCAGTTAATATCACCTTCTGTATTCCGTGACACGCTACACTATGCCGGATTACCACTTCGGTCATCTTTCTTGATCACCGGTCTGGAATGGATACGGCATCTATCCAACGTGTAGCGTCCACAAGTTCCCGATGCTGGAACACGGCGGCAGGCACACACTCGATAAATTGCGACGCCAAAGACTGTGCCCCGTCCACTCCTCACGGCGCAATCCGGTGAGCTCCACAGCAAGCACCAACAGGTCACCATCGGCCGACAGCCGCGCCAACCGGAACCTCTGCGGCGCCTCCTCCCTGTCCGCTGGGCTGTCGAACTCCATTATCAGCTGCCCGGTGACCGTCTCCCACGCCGTCTCCTTGGTGGCACCGTCCAGGCTGTCGTGCACCGCCTTCGCCTCACCTCCCCACAGCGTCCCCAGCACCGTCAACTCCGCCCCAAGCCCTCTCCAGCTCCACTGTGGCCCCAAACTCCTCCAGGAAGCTCCGCCAATCTCCGTCCTGCAACTCCTTCGGCCACGGGGGCACCTTCCTTCGAGCAGGCAGCGACACCAAATGTAGTGAATGAGAACACAGGTGGGGGCAACCGAATTGTACTTAACGAAAATTACAGAGTTACTCAGTAAAATCGGAAAACCATATCGTAAATCGTTCATTTGCAAAAGATCAGTTCATCCTATGGAACTGGACTGTTCCTGTTGCCAAACATCAATCCATTGTCACTCTTCATGCGTTTCATACAAATTCCATTGTTTTCTGACTCTTCCTTTCTTGATCTTCCCCCCATATTATGCTACCAGACTTTACGTTGACACTCACGCTATATACTACTTATAAGTAGTTCGCAACACAGCACCACAATAGAAATAATCCTATCAAATTACGTCTCGAGCTCACTATTTTAATAACTAATATTGATAAAATTAGATGAAGTAGTTTTAATCACATAAGTAAGAATATGTTCTTCGTTCCAATTGAAAATATCTCCAATTATTAGTATCATATGAGCTAAAGGTAAAAATGACAAAAATTCTCATTTACTTTACTCGGGACTCATAGCTCCTGATATATATATATATATATATATATATATATATATATATATATATATCAAGCGTCACTTGGGTTTGTGAGTATAAGCTTGTCCCAAAGGACATTTACTGTGAAGAATAGCACGTGGCAACTGATACACATGGTTAAGTTAAAGTATTTTGTGTCAAAAAATATGTTTTTCTTGGTCATGTATTAGAATAATTTGTGTTCATACTTTTCCGAATGAAACACATTGATGAATGCTAAATGAGACATCACTTCATCAGTTTTGGAATGATTAACAACCTTCATTGGTCAAAACCTAACTTCTCATCTCCTATTTTTGACTATTGATTAATATTTTTGAATATAGGGTTGTCGAGATTGTTGAATTTCATTGAAATCATGAGTCGATCAATGTTAGACCCCCATTGGAAACCTGAGAGCACTGGACGGCCGTCCAACTCATCAACAGTACGCATCCACGACCCACATACAGGAATCGAACCCTAGGACCTTCAGTCTGGCGCGCGAACGCTTAAACTCTAGACCATTGAGCTAACATCTGACGGTATCAATGTCTAACTAACTTCCTGTAAATTATAGAATAGAAACAGCAACTGTAGAGCACAAAAAATGTAATCATTATTTTTAAAACATTGATTTAACTTTATTTCGCGTTGACAAACTTATTGTTTAATTTAGTAATTGGAATTTCTTATCTCATAATTTTTGTCTAAAACAAATATTTAGACGCGTTTCTTCCAAATAAAACGTTTAATGTAAGCTAGGCTAGCTTGTCTAATAGATTTAGAAACTATCGAGAAATTAATCTAGTAACTGTCTAGTTCAATAAGAAATTTCACAGTGTAGAATGAAGCTTTTGTTATACACCAATGCAAATCGAAACAAAATGAAAGTCTGGCTTTAAAGTACTGTGGTGCGCCCTACTTATAAGTAGTATACGACGCGAGTGAAAACGTAATGTCTGGCAGCAGAAGATGGGGGAAGATCAAGAAACGAAGAGTGAGAACACAATGGAATTTGTATGAAATGCATGAATAGTGAAATGTCAGACAATGGATTGATGATAGATTGAAGATTTGCAAATTAACCGTTTACGATATGGTTTTCCTATTTTACTGAGTAACTCTGTAATTTACGATACGATTCGGTTGCCCTCACCTGTGTTCTCCTTCACTACAGTACTACACCACTAACGTTTCACAAAGTCCTTCCATTAGCTGTTAACAGAGGACTTGTAACCAAACATGCCAAGGGGAAGCATGAATACAGACACATAATATAAGTATATGTTTCCTAGTAACTTTTGAATAACTTGCTTGTGTTATTTTTGCCGAACTCATCACTTGGAGTTTTAAATATAGATCGCCAGGAGCAAAATGAATAAGTGTTGGAAACTAACCTTTTGTTAAATGTGAATACACTGGAATTCCCTTTAGAATTCTTTTTCGAGGCGAATTGACGAGGACACCTACAGTTTTAATTTCCTGCATTTTCGTCCTATTCTTTTAATTCTGTAAGAAATGATTGCCTCAGTTGAAAAGGTTATCATCTACTTGTTATGAACAGAAATGACTTAGGCTGTAAAATATCTCTGTTATGTAAAATGCCATTCACTAAAATGTGTTGCATTGAAGTTATTTACAAGCGGATTTACGTATTATGCGTAGCTGTTTATTTAAACTCATCATAAAGTAATGTGTTCTGTGTAACTAATCTAATGCTGTAATAATGGAATAAGTCACTCAAAGTGATAAGTTTACTTGTTTAAAGTATAGAAAATTTATACCGCTATATTTGTAGCTCATTTAAGTTTCAATCCATGATGTATGTAGTTTTCTGAAATTCTGTCATAACTAGTAATGATAACCGCTCATAGAAGCTGGTGTTCCTGCACTTTTAAACCAAGATGTTGGTCACTAATCTGAATAAAAAGAATGTGGAAAATCTGATTATTTGTCATGATATGAATTGTTTGAGATCTGAACATAATACGCGCTAATCCTCCAAGCCGATTGTTCTAGTGAGAAGGCTACCGAATAATATGCACAAATATTCGTCTGTCTCTCTCCCTTAGAAAGTCAATTTGTTTCTTGACCAGTGCTATACATTCACCGTTTGGAACATTTCTGATAGTCATCAAACGACCTTCTCATTTGGGCGATTTTGATTGGGCCTGGGAGTAAACTCCACTGTTGTTTGTCGTTTTGACTCTGTACCCGCTAGCCTATCAGAGTGAGACGGGAATTACTATTTTTACTATTGTAGTACATCATCGCCGACATTTTTCTTTCTGTGTAGTTTTTCACTGGTTTATCCGTGTCACAGCAGTGTTTCGTGTTTCGTTGTGACGGAATATCGTAAATGTATAGATAAGTAATACACGTGGAGTGTATCCACACCCCTGACTAGGATTCTTTATTATTTATTATGCAGCAATCAAACATGCAAGGGAAATGTAATTCTGCAATTGCTTGAGTTTGCATCAAACATTCAGTAACATTTTAATGATAGCACTGGTGATCAAAGTGAGTCAGTCATTTAAACAAACACATATGATGGTAAATGAATTATAGCGTGAATACAATTCATTTTAATTTATGTAAACACCAATAAAAGATGATCACGTTTAAAGTATGTGTTAACTATAAATATAAATTGTCTAATTTTATGTATAAAATTGTTTAGGAAGGAAACAAGTCCAAACATGGATCGTCAGCTGACGTATGTTTAAATGTTTTTTTGTTTTCCTCTCTTTAAATTAATAATAATAATAATAATAATAACTTTTCTATTAGTGTCAATGTTATGTAAAACAATTTAAATGCATTGACAAGAATGAGTAATTTAACTTTGCATAATTTAACTGAATTGTGTTCACTTTCAACCTTACATGATAGCTGATTTTTAAGCTCATTTTCTTTCATACATACTAATTAGTTTGATTTTTGCTTAATTCCTTCCAACTTTATAAATTTGTAGATTATTAGAATGGTTGTTGTAAAGTCTTTTCAAAAGACTTCTCAAAACTGAATTTTTGAGATCAGAGGACATTGGGAGGATTTTATGATAAATTATAGCTAAATCGCAAGGTCATCATTAATTTTCATCTGATATAAGTCTTATGGAATTAAGTTGTTTCATCGTATATCATAGCTATTCATCTTTTTTTTTAATGAAGGATATTTTAGTGACTCTTTAGCTATTAAACAAATGAGTGATATATATATATATATATATATATATATATATATATATATATGCAGAAACCCAAGTCTCTATGATCACTCTATTTTTCTCACTCTTATTTAGTCTAGCTGATGATAGAGCACATCATTTTTAATGTTGTTTAATTGAAATTTAATTCTCTTTCTTGATAAAAGATGCTTTTGGTCGCCTAATCCTTGATTTTTTATCCTATCATGGTTCTCATATGATACAATGTAAGGTTAGGCGGATACATCTTAAACATTTCAATTCATCTGAGCAATAAATGCCTCAGTCTAGTAGTTACAACGAATCGCATTCTTGTTTGCCATGTTTCGTAGATTATCTGAAAGATAATTATTAAGTAAAGTACTCTTAATCCTAGTTTAGATGTTCTAATTAATTTTTTCGGATTCCATTTTAACTGAATGCATTGAACTTGCAATTTCTAGTTGAATTTTACTTGATTAAAGTTAATTTGGTTGAGAAAAGATTCAAATACATTTTGACAATCCGATCAAACTTAATTGTCCATTTGAATTAAAACGATCAATATGAAATATTAATCTTTAAATGAAGTAGAATAACATATACTCATTGCAAAATGTACATTCATCATTTTATACATGTAAATAAGTCTTGAATACATTGACAATGATTTGAAATGAATATCAAACCTGCAACTAATTGAACATTTCCATCTTCATCGATGTTGTTGTCACATAGTGAGAAAAAAAGTAATATTTGCCTTACACTAGTCTCTAAAAAGATAGGTTTGCATGAAAATCAATGATACATTAGATTTTAGGGGATAAATGACAGCTATTCGAATGAATAGGATTAGAACAAATCAGATGATGTAATTTGTTTGACCCAACATAAATGAGAACTGGTACAATACAAAATGCTGTTCATTAGAAACTTCGGACGTATTTCTCACTTCGACAAAAGGGGCAGAGGACGTTGACAGAATACAACTGTTTGACGGATGTAGTATAATCTGATTTCATTTCATCATAAGAGATTTTTACAATCGTAGTTGTAGAGAATTTCTAAGGAATTCTAAATAATTTCTTTGAAATACGCTTGATTAAAAATTAACGGCTTCATTGCAAGCATTATAGTTTAAAAACTCAAATATGTAAGTTGTAATTTGTGCATTTTACGAACACTTAACGACAGAGATAAGATTTGTAATTATTCTGGTAGATATTATGTAAACCTAATGACTGCGTTTACTATATAGTCTACAAAAAGAAATCTAAAAGTTTATGAAGCGTGGTTTATTTAAAGTTGCATACTACCGTTTAGTTTGAATAAAACAGTTTTGATCTGCCACAAATATTTATATATGTTTTGAAAATGTAATAGAAAATATTAAATTTCACTTTTGTCTCTCTATTGTTCTACACAGAGAACAAGAATTACGCACTATGTTTGATCACATGGATAAGAATCATAATGGATATGTGACCGCAAAAGAACTAAAAAGTTATTTGAAAGCACACGATGCGAAAGTCACCAATAAAGAAGTCAAAGAGTTCATTCGTAAGCTTGATGAAAGTGGAGACGGTCAAATAAGTTTGCATGAATTTATGAAAGGGCTGTCACAAAGAAGAAGCTACAGTAGTACTACTACAGACTTCAGGACAATACGAAGATGAATAGATGGTGTTCGTATATTTGCAAATATTTACTCAACAGTTTTATAGCATTACTAAGACTGACAAATGAAAATGTTTTCAGTAAAAACACAATAATAAATTTTTCTCTTTAAAATGTTTTGGCTTTTCAAAGAAAGATGTGTTTTTTTTTGGTTCATTTGTATTAAACTGTCTTGTTACTTCGATTGAGAATACTTCCAACATTCAACACTAGTATTATACACCAAAGATATAAGTTGTACTCACTTTCAAACAAGATAATTTGCTCATCTAAACGAAGCAATCTTATTTCTTAGAGCTATGTGTTGTGAATAATGGTTGGCGATGATAGTTGATAGATTGCTTCCCATAGTTGCTTTAAGATTATTATTTTATTAGTCGGTTACACTGAAGAAGTAAGTATACATGACTACTATATCCGAATGTGATAGATTCGGTATTTGCATCATCCAAATATTGTCAAAAATTTAGTGTTTAAGTGTTAAAACTAGATGTTTAAGTAGAGAAATCGTGTATCTTCAATATTCATATCACCGTGTACTGTTAGTTAATTAGGCGTGAAAACTTTAAAAGTAGAGTATACTACATTGTTGCTACGTCACATTGATTCACTAACAATTTTAAACTTAAACGGCCTAAAATGCTCGAATACACTATTGAAAGTAATATTGAATCTGTATGTTAAGAACTGAGACTAGGGAGTTTTTATTTTTGTGATTGAGTTTCGTTGATACTACTAGATCAGTGAAACTAGCGAAGATTTATGTACCATAGCATTTCGAAGTTAAAAAAGTATGTAAGTACATCTTAGTTGTTACATAATTAATATAACTAGTGTTACTAAGGATTATGTTTTAAGTTAATGAGCAACTGAAACTTCTGCATACATGATAAAACAAGATAAGCATTAAGTGTACTAGAAATATGCTGGTTCACCACTGAGCACTCGCTTAGATCACTGATAAGAGATTTTATGGCAATTCATTTTATTCTTAGTCGGTTTATGTCATGGTCTGACACCGAAGAGCATAACTGTTGCATCATACTGAGAACTGAATGCAGTTGCAAGTGTAAAATCGCTGGGTTCCAATTCAGCGGTCTAAAGCTTGAGCACTATCCATATGGCCAAATAGTTTTGGATTCAATCCGTAGTTCGTTCATGATTTCATTGTCTTAGAGGCCATATGAAACTGACTTAGCCATCAAGTCATCATTAGATCTCACTGTAAATCAAACAGATATCAGTCAGTAAAGTAAATCACTTACATATTAATATTATGGTTCTAATAAAACATACTAATGGTTCAGGTCCCATGCCTATCTAGTATCGTGATTACATCAGTGAGAATCACGTTTCTCTTCATACATTTGTTGTCAGTTTTCGGAATTATTGTTTAAATAAAAAATTCAGTAAACTGTTTTTGTACTGAGCTTTATGATTTGTACAAACCCTCTCGTTAATCAGCTGTTTGCATGAGTGTATAAATAGTTAGTGAATACTGATTACTTATAGTGATATTACTTGGTGCCTTCAACTTAATACGAAGCAATGAATAATCTCTTCTCGAAGCCAATGTCGTACGTTTTGATGCTAATTTTTTAATGAATTTATTTTCATTGTGATCGATAATTGCATGTTTGCAACCACTTTCTGTAGTTTACATCGTTATCAAACATTAAAATGCTACGATCGTTGTTTTCAAAATGGGGCACAAATTGTGTTTTAACTTAAAGTTTGCAATAATCAACTAGATTGGCACTCATAAAGGCTTTAGCCACTCAAAGAATGGTTAAGAAATATAGATTATCAGATACCGGTAAATCTCTACCATTGAATTTGTGACTGTGATAGTTGAACCATAAATTGTTTGAGAGATTAAACAAAACAATCTTTACAACTTTGTTTGTCTTATTCAACCGTAAAGTACATAAAATAAACTGCCAATTGAAACATGATCGAGTATCACTGCTTTAACGTTTGCTTACTCATAAAAACTATAACGCCTCATTAGCTTCAATCTGACCAGCTTACTACTATGCGATTCTTATTGAAAATGATCAGTCTGTTAGAAAGAGACTGTGACGTTTTTCTTAACCTCTGATAATATTCTAAGTAGAAACATAGAATAAATGCAAGTTGATTTACTTTACAACAACGAACATCTATTTATGAATTTATCGTCTATACTCACAGTATACAACGAATTACAAAGCTACAGTGGTGGACGTCTACAAATCAATGAAATGAATACGTCACCGTTACGTATCCGAATTCGTTTGATTCTGATCGGAAATTAACTTGAGACATGATTGTGAAAAATTTAGGTAAGAGGAGGGAAATGAGAACATATGGAGAAAAAGAATATGAATCAACAGTGCTTTGGATTTAAAAATTAAATCAGTCGTAACGGCTTAGTTTCAAAATCTATGTAACCTTACTGATGAATGCATAAATCGAGTGAGTTAAGATTATGCATTATCTGCTGTTCAAAAAAAAGATAGGTTTTTATCATCTTTAACACTTAGGTCATTGGAATATATGTGTTTTCTGTACATTTAATGAAAATTTTCAGTCACTCTAACGTTCAAGTCCACTGAGATCATCCGACTATGATTTTCTAGTTCATCCAATATTTTTATTCAAGTGAGACTTACTTTTTCCAGATAACACTAAAAATCGTACTTCAATACTTCCTCTGTTATTTTTCATTACTAATAAAACCTTAGAGTTTTATCTGCCTAAGGCTGAGTTTACACTTTATCCTTGTTGTATGCACTAAGTGGTGATTATCTTTTCTGATTTTCTTTTTAGAATTGCTGACATAAAAGATTTATTTGGAAAACTTGACAAGAATCATAATGGTCTTGTATCACAGAAAGAACTCAAGGCTTATTTGAGAGAAAATTCTGTCAAATATAATGGTAAGGAAGTGAAGGATTTTGTTGCGAAAATCGACGACAACTCGGATGGTCAAATTAGTTTAGAAGAATTGACCAAAGCTTTGACAGGAAATTTCGATCCCACTAAAGTATGTCACCTAAAGCCACGATAAAAATGATGCAACGTCGTATACATAAACTTACAATGATTAAATACATTTTTTCAATACTGTTATTAACTTAATACGATTAATATAAACACGTTTATTTAATATATTCTTTTGTTTTGTTCAAGTGGTGATGGGTGTCAGCATCCGATTAAGCAGTTTAAAGAGGTTACTATTGAGAAAGCTTTAAAGTATCACTAAAATGAATAATATTTTTATGGCATAAAAAATTGAGGTGTATTCGTGTTCTCGAAATAATGGAATAAGTAATTCCGGGTTCTAGAAGTACCAAAAGTTTTTACTTTGCGAAGTTTCTTGAATTTTAGTTATAGTTCCATTACAGTTTATTATTCAATTAGTCGATGCTTCAAAAAAATTCAGCCTTTTCAATAGCATTAGTCTAATTTTCGTTGTGCGGAATAGAGCAGAGTTTCTATATTGCAGTTATATTCGAAGAATTGTTTTTCAAGCTTCTAAATACAAAGATCCCGTTTGACGCTTTGACAAATATGCAAATAAGTTTTCTGCGTTGATTATCTATTTGAATTTAGTCCCCTGTTCAACTTACTTACTTACTTACTTACTAATGCTTATCACCCCTAATGGAACATAGGCTGCCGACCAGCATTCTCCAACCAGTTTATGACTCGCTCTTTGTTTTATTCTACTCAGAAGTGAAGATAAGCCACCGAAAGTCTAGGCACTCAGAACTGGTATTTGTATAATTAAATGTTTCCGAAACATGAAACATGTTAATGATAATTTAAAAGCAACCAATATGTTTTTTTGGGACCAACCAAGTCGACTTTATTTGTCTAGTGTCCCACCCCAAGGTCGATTTTGTATGATAGTCAATAATCACTGCATATATATCCATTAGATTGTTCGCTGTAGTCGTATTGATAAGAACATATCAACTGTTGAAATTTACACATAATAGTTATTAGAGTTAAAATCGAATATTTTGTGGCATAATTTAGGATCACAGCTTTCCTTACATTAGCAATACATTAATTCTAGTTTTGACAATTCCAAATGACTACTTATTTACTATGATTTTTCTGAGAGTGTGATTATTGTAAGTTGAGAATAGAGTTCCTATTGATTTTAAATGGAAATGGACAAAATAGAATGTATCATTTAGTATTTCATAAACTCGTTGTTAGTAATTAAATCAACGGGTACTGATATTTGGAACTGTCGAGTGAGTGAATATTTCCAGTGTCCGATTGGAGAGTGTTCTAACTGAAAGCATCTATTTCTGAGCGTTTTAAATGTTTTTAGTTTATCGATCTAATTTTTCTAGGTATGTTGATAATATTTTGAATGGTAAAAACAAGTGTTTTGTATCTGATTTCGTTAGATAAGGAATGGAAACTCTGCAGTTGGATCTACAGATGTTGTAGGGTGGTACCGTCTAAGTTTGAACGTTTACATTAAGATGTTTTTGAAAAATTGTTGCGCTACGATAATACGGGCTTTTATCAAATTTATGAATCCTATAACGATTTGTAAGCAGTAAGATTGATTCCTGAGCTCACATTGTTATCTTGATTAACGTTAAGCCTATCTTTCATACGAAAGTATCTAATTTGGTTTACATTTTGCTCAAGTAAATTGTATGTAAGATGTAATAAATGGTTATAATTTACTTTAGTGTGTATGATATGTTATACAGTCTATTGCACTAGTCAACTTAAACAGAATAAACTTTTATTCTGGATGCTAATAGCACTTATCAATGACCTACTGATAGATTTCCCGGTAGATAGTGTCTTTACTGTAACGTGTCGTCTATGTTAATCGGTAATGTTAGTGAAATTACACACCACGCAAAAGGTTTCGGTAAACAGATAAGCTGAAGAACAATCAAAAAATTTATTTCAAATGAAAGAAAGTAAAATAAGATAAGTGCACCATGAACTGGGACACCTAAAAGAAACGGAATATTTGAATAACGCATCAAGCATAGAATAGTTGCATTAAATCATCTCAGAAATCTCAAATTCTCAAATCATTCAATTGTTCCAATGCGTTACTTGAATAATTCAGTTGTATGATTAACCCAATTTTTGTAGATTTCATTCATTAATTTGAAAAGGGTAGGACTTGAGCAAAACAATAAGACTTGATTGTAGTTAAGTTCAGTTCTCTTCGGCTACTTTCATAAGCCGCAATATTTAAAAATCAAAATCACAATGTGTATTGATAATATACACACACACATAAATCGATTTGATTGGAATTTGTTGTGGCCATGCATCAACTAAGTGTAGCAAAGATGTTAATCAATTTAAGAGATTGAATAAAATCTACAAATGTATCTTATATGGAGAAATATTCTACGACAGTGATATATATAAATTGGTAAAGAACAAGAGAGTGTTGATTCGACAGCTCAACCCAATAAAATACTTTGTACACAACATGTTATATCAAGCAAAATCAAATCAGTGTGTCAATGTGAAGAATGTTGGTGAACAATCCAGGATATTTATGAACCGAATTTTATTCTTAAAAATCATTTTATCAGTTTCGTGTCTGTAGAAAATTGTCCAATTTGTCAGTGTACCATGTTACTTTTACTTTAATTGAACTTACTCCCTAGAACAATAAACATTCCTTCAACAAAACTATTCTTTGCTGAACTGTATGTATGTATCCAAGGGGATCTAAACCACTTTTTAAATTGTTTGCATAAAGATCATTTCTGTTAGCTATTGATTACCAAAATGTTGGTTGGAAAAATACTAGGATTTTGATAAGAAATAACTAATCAATTTAGAAAGAACTTAGGGAAACTAGTTCGAAAAACTTTTTCAAACTGTTTAGAAGCTATCATCCCGTCGTAGAAATTGACATTCAGGAAAACCTTTAACCTTCTATCAAGCATTCACGTTATTTCATATGATTAGATATCGAAATGACTGAACAGTGCGCAACTATCTTAAATAATAACTTTGCGCAATCAACAATTTACATTCATCTCAAGGAACACAAACAGATTTATTTTATTGCAAAATGTCAGATTATTATTTAAATCTCAAAATACTAGTAATGTAAATTGAACATCTTGGCGCTTGTCTAAATCTAGAAAAATAGATTTTCTTCACATAATGCATGATTATACGAATTACCATTTCAGGTGTGATTTTCAATTATATATATACCGATACAAATAGTTGTTTACATCAGACCTTTTGAGACATACATCTTTATCTTTTCTGTGAACAATGTCTTCAAATTGTAATCTCACGTAAGCTGAATAATTTGTAATATTTATTTACTAATTACTGAATTGATCAGTAACTGTTAGGCACAATCAAGCCTGTAAAGAGGGCCTATTTGAACAATTTTTTACGCTAAACATTTGTTAGAAATCTTCCATATCAAATATGCGATTAGGATTCAAATGACCACACCCATGAATTTACAGACAATATCCTAAGATAACAATTATAGATTGCTGAATTTAGAGGTTTTAAAACTTAGTGAGATTCGAATTTCATTGTGAATAAGTACTGAATATAATCTGACACAGTTGATTCTGAGTAATGTCCAAACCCTTAAAAATGTAGTCTGTTTTTATAAGAACTAGCAAAGCATAGAAAGAGTAAATAACTATGGGATATGCTTGATATGATTTACCTTCTATCCTCTTTTCCTACTTCAGAAGGAAACAACTGAATAGATTATTTAACACAGTCAATAAAAGTCTTAATGAACGTATTTCTCCACAAGAAGTGAGCGCATATTTCAAGTTACACAGAGAATAATATACACGGGAAAACTGTAAAAAGTTTTTTCTTCCATAAATACCAGTAACAATCGTAATATTGATTGCAAAGAATTCTTGCAAGCATTAAAAATATTTAAGAATCAAAAGCATGAATGTCAAATCTGGAAAGCTAATGAAATTTAGAGTTTTTCTGTGTTTCATTTTTCTGTGTTTCTCACTAACAGATCATGAATCATCATTGTTACTACACTGATTTCCAATTTAATTATATCGAAGTGACTTTCTTGTTTATGTTCAATGATCTTTATATCATTATCTTGATTTTAGTCCAGTGATCAAGTGATCCTTTTAAACTTCTCGATACAAGTGACAACTCAACTTGCATAGAATCAACAAGGGTGTAATTAGCTCTATTCGCAAACATGGCCAAACTAGCTCAGTTTATTCAATCTATGTTTTACTTATGACATTGAAATTTTAGCTAAAACCTAGCGCCATTCAAGCGGATTCCCCCCTTTAAACATAAAAGTATTAACAGATTACCAGTGTGTTCCGTTCTACTGCTGAATGTCAAAAAGGCAAACACAATAAATTGAATTGTATGAGAATTTTTCAAAATATTTTTAATTTTCACTCTTTAAATATGGAATTTTCGCATCGTTATCGCAACTTATGTCAGGATTCTAAGTACCTGGTTATTTTGACAGGTGTCAACTTGATCAAAATTTGTTCCGAACGCAGTAATCACCAGACAATATAACTTTCCTAAGTAGATTAGGCTAGTTGAAAACTATTCAACTTGGAAATTTATAGGAAAGCTTCTCACTTCAAGTCGGAGAAAGATATCTTGATAAACACTGTAATCATGTGAGCGAAGGTAAAGTAACCGGTCGTTCTGTTCCACTATTTTTTTTCATGATATTCACTCTTGTCAGTGAGTAATATTGAAAAAAAACAGTTTACGTATGTCAAATAGGAAAATTCATTAATCCTGAAATCAAATTTAGTAATCAGATAATGAAGTGAATGTTCTAAAATAGAGAGCATCCCTTGGAATTAGTACATAAAAGTGTTGTGAAAATGAACGTGATTTCATGTGAATTCTGGATAGAGTTATTTTCGCCTGAACAGCATAATATGTCAGTGTATAGAGTACTTTGATCGTAACAGCTAGACGAATCCTACTAAAGTTGTACACATATATTTGAATATACTGACAACAGAGTTTTTGTGACAAGCAAACTGAGAAAATTTTCTCTTGCATTGA